CGTCGAGGAGCCCCTCGGAGCCGCGCTCGGGCATCGCCAGGACTTGGGGCGCTCCTGCCCTCCGCGGCTCTCCTCTTCGGGGGCCCCGCTTGGATTAATCGGCTCCGTGCTTCGTGGCGCGGCTGCGGGCTTTGGACGCCGCCTCGCCGCCGCCTTGGGCTTCTCCGGACACGATTACCTCACCTGGACACCCACCTCAGGACTGTAAGTTCCCCCCCCCACGGCTCCCTCTGGCTCTGAGACTGGAAGGAGGGCTGGGCTGGGCTGGGCAACGCACCCGTTTTTTTCCTGGGGAGCGGGGTCGTCTTTCTTGATGTCCATCTAGAAAGGTCGGGGCGGAGGGGCAGGACCTGTCCGCTCTCTGACATCTTCCTTGCATTTTCTTTTCTTTTTTCTTTTCCTCCTTCGACCTTTTGCCCCTCCTGTGTGGCAAGGAAGGCAGAATGCCTTTCTCCGCCGCGGGCGGGAGGCCTTGCATTTTCTTTTCTTTTTTTCCTCCTTCGACCTTTGGGGAAGGTTTTGCCCCTCCTGTGTGGCAAGGAAGAGAGAATGCCTTTCTCCGCCGCGGGCGGGAGGGCGCTGCGAACGGGTGCTCCGCGCTCGCTCTCGGAGCGATTCCTGCGCGCCCGGATCTCGCCCCATCTGTTGGCCGGATAGACCTGCCACCTGCCAGGCGACCGCTTCCGAACAAAGACGGAGAAGTGAGCGGCGGGTGGGGACGGGGGGGGTAGAGAGAGGTCAACACGTGGCCAGAGGTTAGGCAAGGGGTGCCAGCCGCGCGCACCGAGATCCTCGGACGCTGCAAGTGACGGGTAGCCCCCGTCCCCAAGGTCTGCGCGGCCGTTTTCCTTGCAGAGAAAGCCCCCCCCCTCGCCCAGGCGCCCGGAGGTGTTGGTTTGCGGGGACGCGGAGGACCAGAAAGCAGAGGACCGCTGGCTGGGCGGAGGAAGCGGCGCGCTTCCCAGTGTCAAATTGCGGGGGACCTGCCCGTGGTGGTTTCCGAGCGCCG